TTATTGCAGCAAAAGGAGGCTCTATACCTTTTAAGTTGCAAACATTATTTTGATTAGATGTTTTAACATAATGTGGAAACACTAGTTGGAACAAGTGGATTTTTATGAGTAGCCTAATTATCTTAAAACCTCTTTATCATTGCCTGAACTGTCCACCCCTGAATAAATGACGTGTTTTATGGAGTTTGTGTAAAACAAGCAATTTGTATGCATTTTGAACAGATTATTTCCTGTAAATATTGCATCACAGATTAGTTTTCCTGCAACTTTTTATACAATTCTCTGTCTGTATTATGTTTTTCTTAAATATTTTTAACAATCATAAAGACTTAATAGGCTTCCACCACTGAGATAGACCAACTCACAACCAAAATGCTGCTCACAGTGAGTTTGTGGGGGAGTTTGTTCTTGCAAATATATTGTCTGTAATACACAAGATTTTATCTGCAGTTCATCATGTGACTACTACTGATGTATGATTAGTGTGTGAGGGTGACTCATCACTAATTCACTTTAAAAAAACATACTGCTATTCTTGCCATCAACGCTGAAGCGTGACAGCCCAATATCATTAACTTAAAATAAAAAAATATCAGAAAATATATCCCCCATGGCAGTAGAGAAAGGGAGCTCCCCGGTATAGGCACACTGAACAGAAGGGAAATTGTAGTTCTTGGGCACTAGGGAATCTCAGAAAATATTTACATTGCCCCTACACTGCAAAACCATCATTCATTTAACTAAAAAAATAGTTGAAACTGATAACATCACAATTTTCAAGTAAAACTAACAAAATTTTAATTGAAACCTGGGTGAATTAAGTTAAAAATAACATTCTTCATTAAATAGCATTAATGTTTTTGTAACTTAAAAAACTAAGTTAACGCCACTTAAAATTAATAATAAAATGCTGCCTAATTAAGAATTTTTTTTAACCTAAAATTTTTTGTTTGTGCTACTATATTTTTGATGAAATTAGTTCAAACTGTTTTTTGAGTTAAATAAACATATCTGGTTTTACAGTGTAAAAGGATTCCAGTCTTTAAAGAGAGAATGAAAACATGAGTAGATAGAAAAACAAAAGACTTTTACATTTCTAATTATTCTCTAAATACTTAGTTGACACATTTATTGTTTTTTAACCAATACATTCTTCAGTTGTGTCACAGATTGTATCTGTGCATCAGTCACTCTGGCCTTCTAGTGGTTGAAGGAGCAGAGAGGAGTGTCAGTGTGCTGGAGAAGAGAGAGGGAGAGATTGTTCGAAAAAGGCATGTACCTGTACAGCTGTGCCTGTCGAGCAGGTTGGATCGGATGAGCTTTGTGGGTGGGGGGTTCAGAGGGTGGGGTCAGCAGCACAATTACAGAAGGAAGGAAAAAGGAGAGGAATCTGACAACTGACAAGCAGATACAGGATTAACAGGAGGAGGAAAGAGTGCAGAGAGAGAGAGAGCGGCACTGAGACAGGCTTGGATCCGTTTACCGCCGCTTACACAGACCACATCTCTGAAATAACCTCAGTCCTTACAACAGGTAATGTTAAAGCAAGGTAGGATCACACCGGAATCCTCTATTCAGTAGGAACCCATGTGTCTCACATGTCATATTATAAAGTTCTCTTTTTGGTGTCTGGACAGTATGTGGTTCATGCTAATGGCCTAACCCGTTGTACATTTGCAATACACCTTTGTCTGCTATCTCAAAGTAAGTATGTGAGATAACAGACAACAGTGAGTACAGGTACGTACAGTAATGCTCCGTCCCTATCAGGAAGTGTTAAAAGGTTTGAGCTGACCACAGTGTTTGTTATGTGTCCAGTTAAGCATTTTTAGTGTTTGATAATTGTTCTATTATTAGAAGCATGATTGTGAGTAGCATGTGAAAGAATGTAGAAAGCCATTTAATGTGTGGATATGTGGAGATCACAGATTACACTATTATAATGTCTTGTTCTTACAGTGGGTGAACACACTTGCTTTGGGCGATGAATATTTTAACTCAAAAAGATTGTTAAAAGGGATTACATCAAAAATTTATAATAAATTAGTAGAAGCCCAAGTTGCACAAACTCAATTTTGTTACTTTTAAGTTAATTACTTTTTACAAGGTACTACATATTTACTAAACTGCTTGATCAAGATGTTTTTGAACCCACCAAATTATGTTAGTAAAATGTTCAATGTTATCAGTTTCAACAATTTTTAAGTGAATTTAACTTATCTGGTTTTACAGTGAATGTAATTTAAATGTCGTGAGAAAGAACGGCAGATAAAACAGGGTAGGGAACCATGCACTGGGGTAAAATGTTGATTATTTTAGGGACGTGTACATTGGGTCAGTTTCACCATGCAGAACTCAGCTCATGACTGATTCCTCAATATATAACAATGTGCTGAATGGTACTGTTGACAGGTGGTGTCAACAGTACCATTCAGCACTGTAGTTACGGCTCTGTTGCATAAAACTACACCTCAGACAGGCCAGAGAAAGATGTTTAAATTGTATTAAAGCTGCAGTAGGTAACTTATAAAAATAACTTTTTGTCATATCTGCTGAAGCTTTCACAATATTCTGACAGTAGAACATGAGACAGATAATCTAAACAATCAGGTTCATCTGACTCCTCCTAGTGCTTCTAATGGTATTTACAAGAATCCACCTGGCCTGAACAAAAACAACCAATCAGAGTTGAGACAGATGGATGATCATTGAGTCTCATTCCAAGGGCGTCAAATACAGAGGCATGTGGGAATGAGACTCCACAAGCTTAAAACCTAAAGTGTCTTTAAATCTTTCTCAGCTTGGTTGTTTTCATGTTTTCATGTTTTCTTTTGTATCAGTTCTTTTGTGACAAAACGGCATCGGTATTTGACAACCTGGGATGAGAAAGTATTTGTTATGTAATTTTACATGGATTTGTCTGTTAATTGACAAATACCATGTATAAATTTGGAAAGTTTTACAACAAAAATGCTGAATAAAGGTTTTTTATCAGCGCATAAACATTGGTAAACAGTCAAAATATAATTTTTATTAATTAAAACAGCAATAATTATAGTAATTCGACAGATGGTGACTTATTACAGTTCTATAACTTTTAAAATTCAGAGAAAAAAGAGAAAAAACAGCACTCTTCTGTACATTTAAGCCTGATTATTTGTATTATAGCAGTGTTGGTCTGTATTTATAGCTCATTGTTTTACAGTCTAAATATCGTTAATTATTTTTTTTAAATGTTAAAACGTTTAAATCTTTAAAATAAGTGAAACAATTGAGGATTTTACAAGAAAACAGTCAGACAGCTGACGTTTGAAATGTTTATTACAGCANNCATTGTTTTTACATGTATAAATATCTTTATAAAAAACATTAAGAGGATATAGATAGATGTCTATACTTAATCCCACCTGGATTAGCTCACAACTCTGTAGGTGGTGATTCAGAGGTCTAGAACCAGGTTTTAACCAGCTATCTTTCTCAAAATAATTAAAGCCTTGTGCATTAAGTATTTAAATTCAGGAATATGTTATGGAAGGATTCATTGATTTGTAAATTCACCTGAAACTGAGAATCGTTGTGTTTTTGTTGC